AGCAACTTCCAATGAAAACCTAAATAAAGTGTGAGACCTTGGTAGAGTTTGAACGGTTGCCTTCTTTGGAATTCTGCAAGCAGCACGCAAATGTATTATATCTAAGACTTAATCTGCACTCAATTCGCCAACGATATAGTTTCTCTAGCGACCTGAGACATTTCTGCAGGTCCATCAAATGGCAGTGTGAATTTTATGATTCATCCATTCAGACAACCATCCATCGATGATTTTCCCAGTCACGTTCTGCTATCGCGGGCTGCATTGTGGCCATTTATGTTGCTAGCCGAGTTTCTCTGCCTCTCCGCCATTGCATCGTAAAATCTTGCGTTTCCGACAAAAGATCTCTATAAAATCGAAACAACTTCAATTTTTGGCAGCAACAAAATTTGTATTTTTATTATCCCGCAGCAGCTTATTAAAGGCAGTCCATTCAGCGGAGGGGAAAAAACGGCCTCACTCACTTTCATTTATATTACAACGAAATGCGACACTAAATGTGGCCTGCCCTCAATGTTGTTGCCGTGTTTTGTTGCTAGTGTTTTTCGGCCTTTCGGTTGTGGTCTTGCTTATTGTTATTGCCGGCTGATTGTTGCTCGACAAACCAGCCGCGGGCGTCGGCTTGTCACACGCTGCGTATGAGTGACGCGCCTTTATTTTCGGTTATTGTTTTAGCCGCGTAAAACGGCCAAAAGCAGTCCGAGAAAAAGAAAGTGTGCTAGGCATGCCTTATGGGGCATATTTTGTCCCATGATTCACTTGCTGCGTCAATTTGCATAGTTCCCCAGGTTCCGATTGCATTGCGGCATTTCATTCATGATGATGAAGATGATGCTAAACCACATGCCATTGGCTTGGCTCAGAGGCGATCCACTTTTTTGCCTTCATTCATTCATACGATTCGCGTCATCGTCATCGCTTTCGTGAGTGAAAGTTATGTAACTTTATCGTAAAACCAAAATTTTGCAATCTGCAGTGCTCACTGCTAAACCGGATGGTTCGGTGGATCGGCGGATAAACGCCTGGGGACCTCCAACGCCCATAACATGTCGGCTTTTATTACCCGCCTAACTGTCAAATCAAACAAAATTTCTAAATGCCAATCAAATAACAATTTCTCTTTTCTTCGATGCGGCTTTTTGGTTTCTGCCCCCAGAACTGTCACTGTTGCACATAAAAAAAATGTTTCATAATTCGCATGCTTACATTTTTAGGGAATACATCTTGTTGATGATAAACAAATTTGAATATAATTTACCATTTTGTTTATAGCAAGCCATATTGTTACAAACCAAAAATTTTATGTTAAGGTAAATTGCTTGAGACTTTATCTATCTGAAGTGGTATCTTAAGAATTTATGGAACACTTATGACCTAATGACCTAATTTTTGTTTGATTATAAGTAAATTTTTTAATTTTCTCAGTGTTAGAACTGTGTATTTTTAAATTGAAATCACAAAATACTAAATAAATAAACAAATAAATTGCATAATTTTATAATATATATAAAAATAATTGTATTTTTCTGAGATACAATTTCCAAAGGTTTTTTTTCCCGAAACCTTACCCCATTTAATGCGTTTCTGACAGCAACCTGTTGGGCATTTATTATTTACACAAAGTCAATTAGCTCCGTTTTATTTGTGCGCTTTTCGGTTTGCGATTTGCGATTTGCTGCTGGCCATCGCTCAATTAGCCGGCAACAAGTTGCCATAAATCGATAGCCGCTTTCCTCCCACTCGGCCATGTGGGTGTGGCAGACTGGCCATCTAGCTGTCCGTCGAGCTCTCTTTCGGCCCATGTGCGTTTGCTTTTCAAATTAGCCTGCTCGATTCGCGTCGAATTTCGAGGCTTTGCAGGCTCGTCTTTATATTTTTGGGCAGCGTACGTTCTACTGACCCATTTGCGTGCGTTTTCATCGAATATCAGCCAACGGAATGCCAGCGGCATTATTGGAATTCCGACGCAATGAGAGGGAAATAAATCTGCGGCGCGGGGAACATTACACTGAGCTTGTATTGGGTAAGAGATAGAAATTTATTTCGTTCGAGTCAATGCCAAAATGGCAAAATAGTTGGAATTGGCAGCCGCTAAACATTGAACATCAGCGCTGTACCCAATGATTTGATGGAATTTGAAATAGAAATAAATTGAAATAAACGGGAATATGCCAAGCAGGAAAACTGTAGTATATAAAAGGCTATCTATGGTCCTAGCAACCAACAAACTTGTATAAGAACTAACTGGGTTTGTTTTAATACCTTTTTACTTAGCCGCGTTGTGAAGGAGTGAGAGCTAATCACTCGGAATCTTTCCGTCTGTTTTAAAATATTCTCAGGTTAATTGTTTTTATAAATTGCCTTGACAAGTTGTTGATTGATGTTTACGCTTATTGATTTAATAAGCTGGGACAGCTTACTCTTGGTAACCAAGTTCAAGGAGTTCTTAAATTAAGGATGCTTTTGTATTTCCACCAAGCACAGCCACCCGAATTTCGTCATCCGCCGCAAACACATTATTTATTCCCATCTGCGAGCACAAAAGTATCCGAGCCACAACCAAATTATGTCTTTTTAAGCTTTTTGGGTTAACCGCCGAACTGCCATCAGGTGAAATTGATTTTCTTTTCATTTGCGCAAATATGAAATGTCAATATTGTGCGTAGTCGTTGCCGTCATTGTTGCTCGGCTGAGAAAGTGCAGCGCCAACATAAAGCGTTTTCCATGCATTGGGCGGATATATCCATTTACATATATAATATATATACATAGAGGTCTTTTTTTGTATCTGAAAGGTTTCTGTGGTTCGGCGCTAGTTATGCTATTTTCATTTAAAAAATTCATAGCCATTACCTGCGGGCACACTCCGGTTCAAAGCCAAAACAAATTCAATTCACTTTGCCACGAGAGCTAGGGCACTTGCCATTTTGGGAAGGCGACATTTAGATATATTATTTATACTCTTGTACGGGGTAGTCTGGCTCATCGCATGATTGGACATCTAAAAGAAATTTTATTTTTACTTATCAAGCATACAAAGTCGATTATATCCTTTATGAAGTTAAAGTAAAATTTGTGTTTCTGAGCTATTAAATGATTAGTTATAAAGAGCAACATTTTGTGCATGTTTATGACAAGAAGAAAGAAGTATATCTAACAAAACTTTGGTATAATAAATAAATAATATAAAGACACAAGGGCATTTTAAATCTCGGCCTCCCATACCTGCCATTATTTTCTGCTTTTTGCCTTCATATTTGCCCGTTGAAAAATATGACCAAGTGCGCCTGTGGGATCACTTTTAGTTCGGGCTCAGGCCTAAGTATCAGCGCTTTGTTTAACCCATCTGGCTGGGCCGAAAGAAAGTGAAATTGATGACACAAATGCGCAGACAACGAATACGAAGTGGTGTCTATGCTAAATGGCCTGGTTAAGTAATCTCGTGAGAGCCGCAAACATTGCGCAGCCAACGAAGCCGAGAATGTTGTTAATAGCCAAGGTGGAGATGCGATGACAAAGGCCGCCCGATGGCTTCCCTTCGCCTTCCCCTACGCCATCGCTTTTCCCTGGCTTAATTGACAAGCTCTCCGGTCTCAACTTCACTTTCAACGTCTCACTTAGAAAGAAAGATACGCCCTGTTGTTGATCGATCTGTGAGATACGCGACAGGCATCCGCATACCGGGTCGCGTATCTGCTGTCTTGTCTCTCATGTCTTCCAACTGCTGATGTATCTTTGGGCCGCCCCTGCCACACTTGCAATTGTCTATTTGCCTTTGGCGCCCTACAACTTTCACTTGGGGCGCGGAATCGGAGGCGCGATTTGCGTAGGCTGCTGACATCAATTCAGGCAACCACGACGCCTTTGTACGTAATTATTTTGGGGTCCTCTTCTTGGCTTAGCATTTATGGGCAGTTTCTGATAATAAATTCATCCTTTGAGAGCTTATTTTAAAAATGATCATGTGTGACAACAATTTTTTAACGCTTTCAGAATTTAGTTATCAGGTGCAATTAAACTGATTTGAAAGTAGGACTTAAATAATAATAATTTCTACTCCATTCTTTGGCTAAAGTAAAGCCTATCGTATTTAATATATCTTTGTGGTTTTAAGGAAAAGTGAGTAAAGCTTGCTTAGGTACATACTTTTATTTTTGGTAGATTTTTGTTTTAATAAAGTTAATAAGCAGAAGGAACCGCCTTCGACCCAATAAGGTATAAATATTCTTGCTCAGAGTCACTAGCCCTGGCGAATTATATCCGACCATCTGTTAGATACATGATATAATGGGAATTCGACGTAGCGTCATTTCTTGGTTTTCAATGAAGTTTAATTTTATTTAACATATATGCAACTGTATTGCCTTCTGTTCCTTCTTATATCGCATCTTCGTTAAATATTCCATGTGCTACCAATTTTTTAAGGCTTAAGTTGTCAACATATTATCTTTCACCAGAGAGTAAGTTTTCAACTGCACGAAGTCTTTAGGCCACCCAAGTTGAATGGTTGCTCTTTGTTGCACTGGCTGCAGCCCGATGATTGATTTGTGTCAACCTGTTTGTTGAATTTGGCTTTCGTCGTGCTCTTTACATAAGTCGCTCCCTCGATTGTCGGCGTTTATTGCAACAGGCAACAGGCGGAAGTTCCGCAGCCAAAACCAAGACATTGCTGGCTTGGCTCTGGTCACTGGTCACTGGTCGATGGTCGATGGTTTGGGTTTTGATGGGATTCGAGGGCTGGCCGACGGTGCGCATGCGCAATAAACCGTTTTGTGCATAACGGAACCGCAGTGCTGTTAATTTTTGCGCTGCGGGTACACGGCTGAATTCGTCAACGGCTCGGATACGTAACGTCGTCAAAGTCGGGCGAGTCATGTGCTAATTAATCGTTGATGAAGCTGGGAGTTACGTGGCCCTGTTTGTCTATTGGCCAACACTATGCCGGAAAACTGGTGTGTGTGGTAACGGTCAATACCATATGATTTCAAATTAACGCTACATTAACATTTGCTATTTACATTTATTCTTATGAACCAAAGGCTGCGGCTTAGCCTTTTCCTTGTGCAACATTTGAAAGGCATTGAGTTTTGCGATACTTTAAGTAAAATTAACTTTCCGTGCTCTCACTTTTCTTCTTCAAACTAACCTATAAAAATGGCTTATACAGGTTTTCAAAGCTGTGGTCTTTGGATACCAAAGGTATAAAGGGCTGTCGAATAGGCATCCAACTGCTTCCACTGGAGGATAAGTCACTGCCGGCTAATCCTTTAACGAGTGGAGCGTGAGAGTGAACTATCTCCAGGCGGTTGTGTGCCTGTCCTCCGGACAAAATCCATTTCAGAGCCAAAATACCGGATGTGACCAAGGCGATTTTGCCCATGACAAACGACGAGGTCGAAAGCGCCGTCAGCCATTTCAGGACCAAGGGTAGCAGAACGATTTTGGCAACGGCTACGGCGGCCAGAAGCGGATATACTATTTTCTTGAGCTTTTTTTGCTTTTTGTGCTTACCGCGACCTGCAATATAAAAAGCATATTAAAATCAAATAAAAATCATAGGTCGAATGTTAAAAAAAAAAAATAATAATGTAGGTTGAATGTTAAAAAGGAAAGAGATATTTTGCAATGGTGGGAATGTTTGTATAAGCCAGATAGGACTCCATGTGATCAACCTTTGTTCCCTTATAGGAAGGGTCTTGAAGATCAAAGATTAATATATAATTTTTTGAATTTTTTATTAAAAATATAGATTAACGTGTTTTTCCAGGGCACTTTAATGGTTCCATTTGGTAGGTCCTTAACTTTCCATATGACTTTAACTCACCTTCGGAGGACCACGTCTCCAGCATGTTGTTAACCGCCTCTGGGCTCAGATCGTCTCTGATCAGGCTGTGCAATTGTGTTTCGGCCATCGATAGCCACTGTCGCTCCACTCGCTGCCGCTCCTCGGTGGCAGCTTCATGCTCGGCGTCCTGCTCGACGGCGGCCACGATGGCACCACCCATCTGCACCACCGGCGGAAGGGTGTATGCTCCTCCGAAGGACACCAGCAGGAGCTGGAGAAGCACGGCGATTGAGATCGAAGTCCTGAACATGCTTACACCGCTGCACCGTTCTCAAACGACTGATCAAAAGTGGGCACCCACGGCAGACTACTGCTAATGGGGCACTCTCTTCGTTGCACTCCGCTGCATTTCGATTCAATTGGGTATCTGTATATTCTTGGCCAATTGATGGCCACTATGTACCGCTATCACCATTACACGGGAAGAAAGTCCTAAATTGATGCAAATTTCTATAATGTGGGCATATTTAATACTAAATATAATCCATCCGTATCTCGTGCCCAGCCCATAAAATAAGCATATAGTAATAGACAAAGTGTGATAAAAGGGGTACCTTTAAGTCTCTGCAATTATTCTTAAATTATTTAAGAGATCGCTGTTATTTATTATCCTTTATTATCCCAATGAAGATACATTTAGAGCTGCATAATTTATGATTCTGATTTTTCCCAAGTGTTCTACCTCGGTTTCGCTGATTCTGTTCTGCTCCGCCGATTCAGTTTTACTTGAGCGTGAACGGACACATTAAATTTTCACTGCCTTAATGAATGGCTCACCGCCGACGTTTCACTGTAACTGTGTTTACTGTGCTTGTTACTGGGTTGTGTGCACTACTCTTGTCGGGGGTCAATTGCTCCGACCATCAACAAGTAAAAACTCTCCATTATCGTCGGCAGGCATTTTCTCGCTCCGCTTCGGTTCACTTGCTCTTTTGTTTGGCAGCAACGCTTTTCCATTTCGGAAAAACGGAAAGCATTTGGGGGGAATTGCTCTGCAATTGCTTGTCCTTGTCAAAAACAAGTTGGAAATGCAGAAAATTGTCTTAATTTAGTTGCTAAATATAAGTATCAAAACCTACTCTTGCATTAAAATAGATTAGCATAAAAGGTATGATTAAAATATATTTTCGGAATTCTTTATTAATCTAAACTGAAGAAACCTGTAATTAAGACTTCAACGATTTCCCTATTAACTGAACTTAATATTTCGATTTAAAATGAACCTATCGCTGCCGCAAAATTCAATCAAATGTGTGCGTCCAGGCCAGACTCAATGGAAATGATATTAAAAATTCATTAATAACATTGCCGTTAACAAGGATGGCCCTGGAATATTTTGGATTCCATTTAAAGGCTTTCCGTGAGCTCGTGCCTATGTACATTTCCGACTACGCCCCGTGGCTGATGACCTGCAATGTACGAGTATATAATGTAATAGGATTAATTAAGTTTCACCAATATTAGGGCGGCAGCGAAGCCAGCTTCTGCAATTACACAAGTGGACTAGATGGAAGTACAGGTTGGCCGGCAATTGAATAACGTCCAAACTGAATTAGGCGTGGCCCAGACGAGACAAATGGACTTATCTGGCTGGCCGGCACACTCTGGCCCAATGTGCAAGCCCACTACAGACTATACATTCAGGGGGCGTCCAGAGACATTCAAATGCAAACGCGTGCCTCGGAACTAATCGCAGTCAGCAGTTGACACTCGTTAACGCGTTTGCTGTCGTCACTTTTCATGCCCAAAACCCTGACTTTACCAACTGCGAAGTGTCTGCGGAATGTATCGCCGCTCGGGTGTCAGCGGTACTTTTATTTGGCATCCGGTTGCTGCTCTATCACCACCCTGCCCAGGTTGAACTGGGAATTTGGAAACCCCTTTAACGAGTCTTCCGGCATTTGCTAGATGGAGTGCACTTGATATCAATACAAGAGTTAATTTTAGTTTTATTTGTAGATTTTGTACTGAGTTTACATTGCAATAATTCAACGTCCTGCATATTACGACAGAATAACTTAATAATTTATATTTCTCAGAATCATTTTTGCAGATTGATTTACAAATAGGTGCGTCAATCGCAAATGGATTTAGGAATTTAGGATGTTGGCCAGTAAAAATAATGTAGGACTGACAGTGCTGTCTTCTTTTCTATAAAATTTTATAAAATACTTACAATTAACGGCCCATCTACACAAAAAGTGCTATTTTGACTTTATCGTAATAGAAACCTTAAAACAAACAGGTTTTTATAAAGGGCAAAATGTTTTCAAAAATTAGAAGGCTTAAAAATAAATTCAATTATTGGCAAAGCTCTGAAATCTCATGGATGGATTATTACAAACTGTTTTTAAAGTTAGCTTTTGTGTCTTCTTTAGGATTTTAAATTTTTAAAATAAATACTTACAATTAACGGCCCATCTACACAAAAAAGTGCTATTTTGACTTTATCGTAAGAGAGACCTTAAAACAAACAGGTTTTTATAAAGGAAGCGTAGAAAATAAAAAGGCAAAATGTTTCCAAAAGTTAGAAGGCTTAAAAATAAATTCAATTATTGGCAAAGCTCTGAAATCTCATGAATGGATTATTACAGACTGTGTTTAAAATTAGCTTTTGGGTGACTGTGTTATATACATACTTAATTTCACTTGAGCGCGCGCCGTTGCTATCGCTGAAAATCGATGGTTTGAGGTGGCTGAAAATGGTTTATAGCCACCGACGAGGCAAATCAATGGGCAAGCACTGGACAAATAGGTATCTGACTGTGCTTTAGCGGCCCTCATCAGAGCTTCTTCAGAACGAGCGACTTGCTGGAGTGGCCGCCTCCTCCGGAGCTCTTTAGACTCATTACAGCCGTAAAGAGTGCGAAGAAGAAGCCGGCCAGACCCGTGGTGCCCACGAGCAGAGTGAGTCCGCCGATTAGGACCGGGATGAGGGTGAGGAACTTGAGCTTGTAGGCAATCAGCAGGGGGAAAAACAGCTTCTGGATCTTCTTCTTCAGCTTCTTGAGCTTGCGGCCCTCGGAATCCGCCGATGCCAGACGTTGAGAGCGACCTTGAGCCAGGAGCTCCTTTGAAGTTGCACCTGGTGGCCGTGCGGCTGCTGCTTCTGATTCTCCTGCGGTGGCATCCAATTTATTTGAGCCCGACCCATCTGCGCTTGGAAGAACGGAATCACTAGTTAGCCACGTAATTAGATGGTCAGTCGCAGGCGCCCCGAGGTCATGGTCGCTTGCCCCTTGCATGACCGCACGGGGATTGGAAATTAATCAAGAATCGTTGAATTGAAAGCTCCTTTACCAAGACCACCAGGAAGAATGAGTATAGTAAGAGTGGTCTAATATAATGTAAAACCGTTAAGTTCGATGTGATTGAAATATTGCAGCAACTTACTTTCTAAAATATTCCTTCAGAACTCTTTGCTTACTGGTTTTTTCAAACGTATGACTATTGTTTTGCAAATTTAAATATAATATATACATAAAAGGCATTTCAGAAAAGATTCAGATAGAATTTAAGGGAGTTCTATGTTTTATATTTACGGCAAAAATATGAAAACTGTTCTCATAAAGTACAAATAAAATTGGAAGATCAAAATTCTTTTTAAGTTTCGACAACTGTATAATAATTATACGTAAAAGGCATTTTAGAAAAGATTCAGATAGAATTTAAGGGAGTTCTATGTTTTATATTTACGGCAAAAAATATGAAAACTGTTCTCATAAAGTACAAATAAAATTGGAAGATCAAAATTCTTTTTAAGTTTCGACAACTGTATAATAATTATACGTAAAAGGCATTTTAGAAAAGATTCAGATAGAATTTAAGGGAGTTCTATGTTTTATATTTACGGCAAAAAATATGAAAACTGTTCTCATAAAGTACAAATAAAATTGGAAGATCAAAATTCTTTTTAAGTTTCGACAACTGTATAATAATTATACGTAAAAGGCATTTTAGAAAAGATTCAGATAGAATTTAAGGCAGTTCTATATTATATATTTATGGCAAAAAATATGAAAACTGTTCTCATAAAGTACAAATAAAATTGGAAGATCAAAATTCTTTTAAAGTTCGACAACTTCGAACGAAAGTATATACTATTCGAAAGTATTTCCGGTTTTGCCTAGTTAATATTAAAGTTCGTTCATTCCGATTTCGGAATAAAAGTGTAATTTAATCCATTTAAAGCTCCTGCTTCTGGACCACATTTAATAAAGCATTCAGTAGGTTTACCCACCTTCCTCGTCGCCAATCACGCTTCTCAGGGCGTCGCAGAAGTCGCGCACTTTCACCAGGGCACGTTCAAAGGGCTCCAAATAGGATTGCACACCCCGGAGCGACGACTGGTCGCCATCTCCTGGTTCCCCGGCAAGGATGCTGCGTTCATCATCGTGATTATTATCGTCATCACCATTAACCGGGTGGGTTAAAGTCGCAGCCACCTTGTGAACTTCCGGCTCGACTGCCTCCGCTTGTGGCAGCTGGCGTAGGAGTTGGCCCCGCCGCATCTGTTGGCTGATGGCCAGAACATAGCTGGATGGATCGTTGGAAGGATTCGGTTTGTAATTTCCGCCCGGCGGTGGGGAGCTATCGTTATAGCGATGGTTGTAGGCGTAGAAATTGACAGGAAGTCGTTCCGGTTCCTTTCGCCTTTCCCGGATCTCCGCCCGCTCCGCCCGCTCCGGCTGCATGGAACTGGGTGCTGTCGCGTGGAGAATGAGCCAATTGTTGTGCTGAGTGAAAGGCTGCCAAGCATTCATCTCCAGCTTTAGCTGCGGGCTCTGGTTGCCGGCGGAAGTAGCCCCATTAAAGCGGCTGGCGCTGCACCTCGCCACCTCCATTGTTAGGAGCCCGCAAATGCCGAGCACCAACACCTGTCGCTGCCACATTTTCGAATCAATTTTCCTGTGGATCCTTTGGCTGGGCTTGCCACTTCACACACGCACTCCGCACGCCGTCAAGAATTGAACTGTGAGGAGCTGAGTGTTTCCAGATCTTTGTAGACCAAATTCTACGGGCCATTCGACAGTTTATAGCGCTCCCTGGTCGAGCGATTTTACGGCCTTTCGCCGAAAAATGCTGTGGCTTTGGCTTGCGGTCAAGCGCCCAGTTGATCTCCCAGATAGATTTTCACAATCAAGACTTTTACCTGGCACACACGAGGAGAAATAGGGCGTTATAAAATGGTTCAAATGAAATTCACTATTGGGATTTAAATGTAATCAAGAAACCCAAACATTTAATGTATATTGTTAGTACTAAAATTAATTTATTGGGCATTTTCTTAAGGTAAGATTTGCCTACCTTTTTAAATATTCACAAAGTGCAATTATTTGATGACCACTTTTTGGAGTGTACACATGCAGAATAGCAGTCCGTCAGGCGTAACCGGATTGGGTGGAGGGAACCGACCACCGGCCACTTCCCAAATCCCACTTATGTAAATTTTCACTGATGAAGAGCGGGGGTCTCATTGGCAGATCGTAGATTAACGCTCCAGGGAGCAGAACACGTGCTTGTGAGCCCATTCAGGCATGTCGGTTTTAATTAGAAAACAAAGCTTTAAAGGCGAGTTTGGGAAATTTTCACTTTTCACCACCTTGTCGCCTGCTTAATTCCCTGTTGCACGTTCGGATCCACAGGTCCAACTGGTGGCCTTGCACTTGTTGCACCATTCTATATAGGTTTCTGGCCCTGAGAAAGTGTACCCAATGGGTAAATTCGCGTAATTGCAGAGACGTGCGTGCTAATTGTCTCTCCAAACTTGCCACCAGATGCCTGCGGGGCATGCACCTCGCCACGCGTTTAATGTTCCCCAAGTGAATGATGGGCACTAAGATGTGAATCGCTGTAACGTTGCACTTAACTTATTGCTTTCCCTTCCAACGCCACATACTGTTGGGCGACACCTTTTCACTTTCTTACAAGTTGGCTAAGAACATGGCCGACTTTTCGTCGCTTTTCACAGCTTAACTCTTTTCGTAAAGCTCACTTTTGGGCTTGCCTTTGAAAATATAGTCCCGAGAAAATGTATATCTTTAATGCAGTAGCTGGAGAAAATGGTAAGAAATGATTGATTTTAAAAAGTTGCAGGCTTTAATACTGGTCAAGAAAATATATACTTTATATGGCAACAAATGTCCCCTTCACTGCATTGTAGGTTTCGACGCATGAAATGTTTATATCTGCAGATCTAAAGATAAAAAAAAATCACATTTGCATCTATGTTTATTAGCATAGAATTATTAGACTTATTTATTTATTCATTAGTTATTTATTTATTTTATTTATTTATTTCATTTATTTATTTTATTTTTGTTATTTATTTATTTATTTTATTTATTTATTTTATTTATTTATTTATTTATTTTATTTATTTATTTATTTTATTTATTCATTCATTTTATTTACTTAGTTTATTAGAATTATTATTCTATGCAGAGGCGCTGCCATTTCTCGAATCAGAGCTAGAGTTTGGGATGAATCTCAATGCGATTCCCACCCGAGTGCAGCCCGCATCTGGATTCGAGTTCCATTCCGGCTTTGTTTTCCATTATCCGCATTCAGAATGATGTATGGGATAGAATTATGCCACTGAACAAGTGATGGAGCCCATGTGATAATGGGGCTTGTGGGCTGTTTTGCAGGCGCAAATTGTGGCTTAGGCTGAATGGCAATTGAAATGTCTTTCAGAGCTTCGCCATTAACGGGTAGCCATGATTGATGGTGACCAAAGGAGCCCATTCGGGTGGCTTAGAAATATAATAGAGAGTGACTTTAGCACATTTCTTTGGTTGTCTGTACGCGTCCAAAGTTCGTATTTCATTTGACATGGTTTGGTTTTCTCATGTATGAGAATGCTGGCAAGAGATGATCAAACGTGGATCAAGCTAAAGACATTTAAAGCATTTTTTTATTTCTGTTAATTTGCATGTGACTGCTCTTTTGGCTGGTGATTATGATGAGCTAACATTCTTGCATTTTTTTGCCGATTGGTACACTGGGATCATATCCTGTATTTCTCTGTCATTCCCAACTTAATGTGTGCTTTTAAATTTCTTCATTTCAAATGATTTAAATTTTTATATAATTTCTACAAATCTTTATTAGCACATTTAATTAGTTGTAATTTTCAAATCGGAATATATCAATTCTGAACTTTTTTTTTTCAAAAATTAGCTGGCCTGAAGACAACAAATAAATGAACTTTCATTTTTTGATCTGAGCCACAGCTTGCATTCTATTGGGGACTCTTGTTGGCAACCCGTTCAACTCAACCGTAAAACTAGTTCAGCGCAAAACTCATCCTACGCCCCGTTTTAATGGAAATCATAAATTTGTTTTCGGGAATCTTCCCGGCCACACCGGCTTTAGTCAGAGCGCTGCACAAGTTTTTGCTTAATGGCAGAGTAACTATAATGAGGCAAAAGACCTTGTTTTTGGAGGGAAGTGAAGCGTGTGCGACATATAGCCACCTTTGCTGGGGTTTGGTCAGTCAGGCAGCTTTAAATCGAAAGCGAACTTGGCTTTTGGCATTAGTTCTACTTGTGCTGCTCGAGCGTTCGCAGTCCGCAATGAAAGTAAGTGGTGCCTGCGAAGATGATTCTTAAAAGGATTAAACCAAAACTGATATCCTCCAGGTACTTGTTTGTCTTCTGGCTCTGGCAGCCACTCTGGCAACCGCCAACGCGGGTCTCCTCAGTCTGCTGAAGGGAGGCGGTGGTGGTGGTGGCGGTGGCGGTGGCTATGGCGGCGGATACGGTGGTGGCTACGGAGGCGGCTACGGAGGTGGCTATGGCGGCGAGAGCACGCTGAAGGTCATTAAAGTGATCGGCGATTCCGGAGCTGGATACGGTGGCGGATACGGAGGTGGCTATGGAGGAGGCTACGGTGGAGGCGGCTATGGCGGTGGCTATGGAGGTGGTTACGGAGGTGGCTACGGCGGTGGATACGGAGGTGGCAGCACTGTTAAAATAATTAAGGTTATCACCGATGGATCCGGCTACGGAGGAGGATACGGTGCAGGTGGCAGCTACGGAGGCAGTTACGGAGGCAGCTACGGAGGCAGTTACGGAGGCAGTTACGGTGGTAGCTACGGTGGTCAGCCCGGATGGTGGAAGACAAAGTGAGCAGATGAACCACTCTCCATTTAGCTGTAGTCCGGATATAAACTCGTTTATGTACCTGAAAAACATTCTATAGCCAAGTAACCCGAATCTCCTTAATGCCAGTTATTTCCAAGTTAGCGAAACTAGTTTGAGATGATCGGCAGACTGCTTGGCGAACTCACAAATAAAGCAAAATTAAATCTAATTTAAATAAATAAAGATCTTTTTCACCTTGTAATCGTACCAATACCATTTATTACCATTCTCGATGACACTATATTAAGGGACACATTCTCTAATTACCATAAAGTTTGTAAGGCAGTAAGCTTTGAGTATCGTTCTTGGAACAACTTTTACTGAACTCTAATTCAGACTTTTAAAACCCGATGTGATAATTTAAATGAGAGGCTAATTTTATCTCGATAAGAAGCCATTATACTGCACACGCTGAGATTTAAACGCAGCTATTATATGGCCATATAATATTTGCAAGTATCCGGTTTTATTAAGACAATAAAATATTTCATAATATGCACTAACAACAGCTATACTATTTTATGTTTTATAATATTCTGTGAACATTTTTGCGAACGCTATCGTTGAGCGTTAAGCAGCTTGCCTGTGATAACTGATAAACTTTGTTTTAAGAAGAATCAGAAGATACAAAAAAAAATTAAATAAAAGGAGAAGTCTGTTGCTTTTTCCCAGAGTCAGATCAAAAGGTGCGCACCGCTGCTAAAGTTTTTCAGCATAAAGTACGAAGCATAGAGAAAAAAAATAACTAGATTTTCTTTCCTTTAAAATATTTGTAGTAAAAAAAAAACAAAACCTGAAAATCAAAAGGAAAACTAATTGTTGCGTTCATAATAGATAGATATTATATCTATATAATAATATAATAATATAATAATATAATATAATATCTAAGATAAGTGAGATATTGAGGTCTTTAAAGTGAGTAGTCAAAATTGTCTTAAATAAAGCCTGAAGAATGTTTAACTTACTGTTGGAACACATAGTTATTGCCGCTTTTAATATTTGCTGAGGAAAAATATTTTCTTGTAGCCCTATAATTCCCAACTAGTTCTGGTGTAGACTGTAAGGCATGTCTTCTAATTTAGAGTCGCAAAATAGTTCAAGTAATCTCTCTTACCGGTCGAGCAGTGAGTGTATGTGTAGTGTATGTGTAGTGTATGTACCGGTGTGTGTATGTATGTATGAATGTATGTATGTATGTATGTATGTATGCATGTATGCATGTATGCATGTATGTATGTATGTATGTTTGTATGGATGTATCTATGTATAAAAGTATGTATGTATGTATGTATGTATATATGTATGTATGTATGTATGTAGTGTATGTGTTACTTGCACAAAGTAGTAAAAATTGTCTTAATTAAAGCCTGAAGAATGTTTAACTTACTTGCGGAAGATTATTGCAAGATCACATTGGCATCCCTCTTGAATAATAATAAACCAGGCAAATGTTATTTATACAAGTGTTTGAAATGTTATATTTATTTTAAAATATTTATTCATACAAAATATTTAAAATACAATATAAAATTCTTGTTAAGAAATTGATTACCCTACACTGAAAGGGATATATATTTTTGTGTTTATTCGTATACAAAGTGCTACTAAATTAATCTCGAGCTAGTGAGGTCTTTAAAGTGAGCAGTAAAAATTGTCTTAAATAAAGCCTGAAGAATGTTTAACTTTAGATAGCTCTCTCTCGGGATCTTGAACAAAAATTCGTGGGCAAAAAAATCGTATGGCGTTACGCATCTTATTATTCTAGTGTCTTTGGTTATAGTTAGTTAATTTTGTAAGAGGCTTAATTTATTCATTGAACAAACTAATAAGGTTCCAATATCGACCTCATTCATTTAAATTAAATTCTGGTTATTCCTCTCTCTTTTTATTGACAGGTACAAAAATACATTTTAAAATGCGTCGTTATAGGAGCAGAGGCAGTTTTGAAAGTAATTAATCGCCGGTATGTGTTTTTTCTATATAACTTTTTTATGTTAAATGCGGAATTGATTGCCAATATAGTCAGCCGTTAGGCAATTTGAATGAAGCTTTCGGGTTACAAGTGCTGAAACACAATGACCAGCTGAATCCATTATTAAAGTTGATTTGGCCAACAGCTTTAACTTACTTAATTCACTCCCTCAGCAAATCTGCAAGCACAATAAAATACTCAACTCAGAACACCACTAATTTTGCGTAATTCATTATTGGTCCCTGTAGAAATTCTTTGTGCGTTCACTTATGATTAAAGTCAAGGGAAAATTCTCGTTCCCGTACTGGCACAGACAAACGTTCATGGCCTGGAAAATGTTTATAGAGTTGAACTGTGGGCCAACTTGCTTCTTGGCTTAAATATCCGTTGTCTTGTGTGTTTGGTCCAGAGCAATAAAAGTGGACCATAAGGTTGCCGAATATGGGGCAAACACCCTGGGACACTACAAGTGGAATTAATGGAAGCTGGCTGGCCAAGTTTTGTTGGGGCTTTGGCCAAGGCAAGCGGAAGTAGTCTCTGGCAAATGGCAACAGGAACTGTGACATTGGCCGAGTATCTTTAGCCTGGCCCGCCCACCCCATTCAACCCAAGAGAAACCTGCCCTTCGCTTGGTATCAGTGATTTTATTTGTGTACATTTTTTTTGCTTTTCTGTTTTTTGAAAACTTTGCTGCTTACATGCAATTTACACTTACGGCTGGTAAATAAATAATAAAGTTAAATAAATTATTACACTTAGTCGCTACGTACAGTTAGACAGGCTAGAGTTAATCAAAGTGCGCCAGTGGAGTGAGTTGGACTTGGAAACGGGCTGCAGAAGCGGAAGTACGACAGGTAATTGAAAATAGCAAGTGCAGTTAGCCATAGGAATTGAGGCACAGTGAGTTGCAGATACACAGATACAGGCTAAAAAAGATAGAAAGGCCGGGTTCAGCAACAGTAAACCCGGCTGGAAGAACAGAGCAGGGCAGAGTGATACATAAAACAAAACATAATCGATTAAAGCAAATACTAATCATTATAAAAAATCCGCAGTGCCCAGTGGGAACGCACGTTCTGGATACATTTTATCCGATGTACCCATAGGTGCCACAGTGCGTCGAGTGAACCGTTGGAAGTGCATCAAGTCATCATTCCTGCCCCGCAGTGCAAGTGCAAAAAGAGAGTTATGTGTATATCTAATTACAATCCGTCCGCCGTCCGTGATTTATCCACAAGATAAATGCAGCTATCTAACACTTGGGGTCACTCCTCCTCCTGGTCTTCACTATCTATCTAGATTTCCGTCCTACGACTTGGCCACTTGCGGCGCCGCTGCTTTCGGATGCAGATGCTGCAGCTGCGGGTGGCTCTGGGCATGGACCGCCTGCTCCTGGTGGTGGGCTCGGTAGGCCAGCTCCTGGGCCTCGGTCAGGGATCGCCGGTCCCAGCCACCGCCTCCTCCGCCACCGCCTCCGGATGACCAGCCACCTCCTCCTCCGCCGCCTCCGGAGGACCAGCCGGAGCTGCCGCCTGACGACTTGCCGGACATCAGCTTCTTCAGCCCGATTATGCCCGCTAGGAGCAGGGCGATCTTCGAGATGATCAGTGCCTTGCCTGCCAGTATGTAGAGCGCTCCCATGGCAATCGGAATCATTCCCATCATCTTCATGGCCATGCCCATCATCATCATGCCCATCATCTTCTTCATTTTACCACGGCCTGCAAAAGATAAAGTGCGTTAATTTGGGGTTTCATTCATATTGTACTTAAACTAGTACTAGTATTTATTCCAAGCAAAAAGTCCTAATAATTTTCTTCAATGGTAAAGAAATTATACATTTTTTAGGTATTCACTTTTCTTAAAGAATAAAATTAAACAATTACCCTACGAATTGCATGCAAAAACAATAGTTCAAGTAACTGAATCTCTGAAGATCTTCCAAGGAGATATGATTTGGATGGAATCCCAGCAAATTTGGAAGAAACGGTGAAAGTGCCTGCTCAATTAAGCAAAGGCTGCATGGGAATATTTTCCCAGGGAAAACTCAGCCGCCTTTTGAAAGAGGCTTTGGCATTCCGATTTTCAGCAACGTGTGTGGCTTTCATTTTGCTGCCTTTATTAGGGACACTGCGGGCGATTTCACTTGCCTGGCTGGCTGGTAAAATTGTATTTCGACATGGCCACGTCCATGGACATGGAAATGGACACAGAAATGGAAATCGAAATCGAAATAAAAATGGAGACTAATGCTGCCCAAAAGATCGATGATCGGAAAGTCATAACCAGCTCTAAACAGGCATCCCAATCGATCGAACAAGTATTAGCCAAAAATGGTTGCCATTGGGAAAGTGTTGGCCAACTTGACTCCAGCTCCTCGCATCGATTAAAAATCTTGATCAATGATTTGAAAGTAAAAGAAAAACTTCATGAGGCGTGAAAGTAAGTTCACTTTTCTTTGCATCGCTTGCATTGCGATCTTGTGGATGCTGCATAAGTGCTTGTGTCAAATTTGTAATTGACGACAGCCCGCATTCAAAATGGAATACCAATGCCACTGGCCTCCTAGTCGAGGAGTTGTTTCGCTCGCCGGAGAAACGTGGTCGCCACTTTCATTGCATTTGACATGGTCATGTCATCTAGACTTTTGAAGCGTCCTACTCTGCCCTTTGGGGCTTAGATACTTGGTCTTAAAGTTGGGCAGAATGTACATAAATTAGGTTTATCGTTAGGTAGGCCTTTACTTTCAATGTAATACATTATTTTAAAATAAAAATATTATTATATACATCACGTGCTCACAAATGCTTAACACCAAAATTGTGCGATTGTTTGGAACAATTTTTATTTGCTTGACAAATAAAACTAGAGCGACTTGGATTCGTGGTGCCAAAGCTACACGACATGCCATGTTTTTGGCTGTTTTTGGAGTACACGAAATTCTGGCATGACATTTTATATTCGACGCAGTCGCCACCGTCTGGCTGATGTCGTTGTTAAGGTTTCTGGGTCAGTCCTGAGTTGCTCAACGAGTTTTCTCGTGTGCGCGTTATAAAAGAGGCGAAAAAAAATAAAAACAATTGCGCATTTTCCCAGCGGCAGTACCATGTGACCTCTCCCCCCGCCTTTCTCCGCATTTCTTCCGCACTCCAACCAGCCCACTCAGCCTGCTTACATACAATGCAGAATGATAAGCCAGGAAGTGGGCCAGCCAGCGGTTGCGGCGATGCAGTTGCTAATGTCACTGCCAGCCGAGATAAACACACGCTGTGGACTACTATCACGGCTCTCTTGGCTCTAATAACCACCTGGAAATTGCCGGCGATATGGCCAGAGTCATAGCCAGAGTCAAATTATGTCACTGTTACGCGCAATGAATACTGGGGTATTAGCGGTAACCGCAACTAGACCGCCCACAGAAAGTGATGATTGGCGCTGTGCGGTGGATCGATTTGTTTACCCAAGAAGTCTTGGGCTGATTGCAGGGTATTCGGCGACAGAGGCCGGAGATCTACCATAATCACTGGCTATTTGGCCATTAGGGTAAATAATATACTGCGATACCAGTTGGGGAAAATAATCAAAAACGGTGATAGATCTTTGGCCGTTTCTAAACATTTCTCCCATTGATAGCACACTATTATCATATTTTTGCTTTACAGTGATAAATTGGAATTTTTGGAATTAGCAAGCGGTAACTGCTTCCCAAACGAACCCAAAGCCAACTGTTTCCTACCTTCCTCTAGGCCGCGTCCAATCTCCTCGGATGTGAGCTTGGGGAAGCTGACCTGCAGGGAGTGCCCGTTGAAGAAGTAGCTGAGCCGCTCGATCAGCATGTGGGTGAGCTTGGCATCCCGGTCGCTCCCGGATCGGGGCAGCGAAGACTCCAGATCGTTCTCGCTCGCGGCCGGCGGACGGGGAGCAGTTTCCAGGCGCACCAGCTTGATGCCATCGGCCACGTTGATGGCGTCGATGGGGGCCAGGCGGTCGATGAAGGATATGGCCTTCTTTTTCAGACATGGCACGAATCCGGCCTCGGCGCGGGTGCACTCGTCGTAGACCCTCAGCAGGGTCCGTGCCCCGGCGCTCTGGGATGGGCTGGGACTGGGTGGGCTGCCCAGCTGCTCGGTGGCTGCCCCACAACTGCTGGCGAGGAACAGCACGGAGAGCAGGCTGATGAGGGCCTGCCAGGGCCACTGCTTGAATATCATGCTAAGGCACTTAGCACTTTTCACTTTTTTCCCGGCTAACGACGGCGACAACACTCGCGGCACACCGTGCGACAGGTGCTACACACAGGTGGGTGGGTGGTTGGTTAGTCCTTCGGTCACAGATCCTTGTCTGGAGTCACTGGGAGCTACTTGCTCTGGCTGCTGGCTCGAATCACACTGATACCGAGCCTTGGCGCGCTTTGTTCTTTTATAGACCTTTCTTTCTTTCTGCGCTCGCTCGGCGGCCTGATGATCGCAATTTGATTTTCCTCGGCTTCGTCGGCGACTTCGGGCGCCCAGCTCGTGCTGGCTGTTTTCCCACTCGGTTTCCCACTCGGTTTTCCACGGCGGTGGGTAAAAGAGCGCGTCAGTGCTGGTACTTGGGTTTTCCAAAGCCAGAAGTAAGTTAAGCCTGATAGTGTCGGTTTATGTGATGTGATGTTTGATGTGTTTTATTATTTTGTGGCCAGTACTTTAATGGTAAATTGTTAGTTTTCCTTATATTCAATTTATTTATCTTACAGTAATTTATACTGCACAATAATACGGTACTATAATGTCGTATAATTAATTTATTAAACATTATATATGCATATACAGTTCTGATAGCTTGCTCTTGCTGTCAGCTCTCAGTTTTGTGTGTTACCACTATATTACTAAAGCAAAATTAAATATCATACGCCAATTTGGCTACAAAATGGCCTAGCTGGCATCGCCATTGCCGTCAAGATCATTGGCAGCAGTGCTCCTCAATGAACCAAGTCGCCCAGCAGCGAGGCGAGGCCAAGGCATTTCCAACGGGTAGCGACTTGTTTTTCCAGCCATAGCTTTCGTTGTTTATGGCCAAACATATTAGTTGCAGTAGTTGTTTTTGGTAGGAGTTCGCTATTTTGGCATTTGACCATTCCTGCAACTGGCTGCCGTTGCCGTTGACACTTTAATTTCAATTTGGCTTTTAGCAGTTTTCGCCATTCAAGAACGAGTTTTGGCCGTGAAGAAAGTCATTGCCAGCTACTAAACGGTGGCCATGGCCGTTTTTTATGTAATGCAAACGGCAGCGAGGGTGTCAATGGGATGTTCAGGGCCATTCGAATGGGCATCGCATGATGTATCTCATGATGTATCTCATGATGTTTGGCAGTAAATTAGTAAGCAGAATATAATGCTGAATGTATCTCCAGGTCCGTAATTGTATCTGATAGAACGTGATGCCATGCATGCGATTGGCGTAGGGAAAGGAAAGCTTTTCCGCATTATTGCGGCTTTCTTGCGGCTTGACTGCTGCTATAAAGACAAAACTTTTTAGCCAAAAACAAAGAGTGAAGCTCGAGTGAAAATGCATTTTCTGGATTCTTGTTTTGTGGGGCTTTCGCTTGGCGATCGGTTTATGTGGCAGGCATACATTAAAAGGAGTATGAGCCGGACCCAGAGGGTCGCAAAGCGATTTTTGACTAATAAACTGCCAAATTAATGGCCCGCCGGCCACAAACATTTCCCACTAATGGCCAAGCCGGCTACTTGCTGCCAACTTGCCACTGGCCCAGCTTCACACTTTAAGTGTCGGCACTGCGGAATGGGTATATCTGCCCAGCTACCCGCGTTTTTTTTCTGGGCCACTCACTTATATTTTGATTTCGTCGGCGCCGCCTCTTTTTCACGCCACTTTCACTGCCCAAAGTCCGTGGAAAGGTACTGGGGGTTTGCAGGGGAGTTCATCGATTTGCATTAAGTACTTTTTGGTGCGCATGAGTATATATTTGCATACAGCTTTGTTTCCGCGTAGCTATCATTCGATGAACAATGGAAAACCAAAGCGTTTTGGGTTCACTGGCCGCCGGGGAGCCGTTTTAAATGTCCCAAAGCAAGTGAAAACTTATAGGATTTCCCAGAGGCAGTGAACCTGAAAAGCCGCTGTCCTTTGAATTCTTATGAAAATATTGTACATATATTTGCCGCAGAGGTCATTTACTTTGTGTCCATTTCTTACGGGTTATGAGCGAGAAGAATACTTTTGTTTAGATGATTTTTTAGTTAAGATAATATGTTTGATTTTAGGTTTTTGCGAGAAATTCCTGCGTTTAAATAACACAAAAGTGGTGTTTCTGGAAATTAATATGCCAGATTTTTTAGAAAGTCCAAGAGGGCAATTACAAATTCGATATTAAGGTAGTTGTTTCCATTCCAGTTTGGATTGAATTTAGAATAGGTTGTCCCATTGCTGCTATATGTATATCCCATTTCTCAATGTCAAGAAATGTCTCCATAACACAACAAAAATAGCCTTGTCTCTAAACATGAATAAATTGAAAATTGTTCGACATGTTTACATGAAGTGATTGTGATCCCCTCGGTTGTGTTCGTTGGACACTTTCGTATTGGATTCCTGTCCTCACCTTTCCAAATGCCACTCGCCGAGCAATGTGACTAATGTGCATCATTGTTTGTATTCCAAGCTAAATCGACCTGTCAAAATGTCCATCAAGCCTGGGACATAATTCGGGCCCTGGAGTTTCCCAACATATGATTTCCATCTTATTATGCGGGTGCTGCAGCTGCAGCCAAAAACATCCGCATCCAAGCCCCTGAGTAACTGCATCTGTACCTGCAGCATTACAATGTGCCATGGCAGACACGTATCCACATCAAACGGAGCTGCGCATGTGAAACAATTCCAATTGTCTTCCTTCCTCTGCGTGCCAACTGCTTACCACGGGCAAGGCCAGTCGGAGTGCACTTAGCAAATTCGGTTAACCTTTTCCGTAGAAAAGAGTCCAGCTTTTATCAATAAAGAAGTAGGTGATTTGTATCAAGTCACCCTTTTTATTTCACCCCTTTCACAAAATTATAATTACATTATCAGGACTATTATAAGGATCATTTCGAATTTTCTTTGTGTTCACGAGAATAGCATTAAAGTGAAGAAATATTATTACTTATATTGATAAGGCAATAGAAAATTGATAAATGCATTATTTTCAATTGATTTGTGTGCGTTTACAATATTTTTATCAAAATTTAATTAAAGAACGTACTTAAAGCATTGAGAGTTACTGCTCCTTAAAATTAAAGGCCTTACTGAAATACTAACCTGTTTTTCCAAGTTAAATAAGTTAAATCTGAGTGTAGCAACAGTAATTGCAGCAGCAACTTTGTCTGCTTCCTTTGGCTCGCAGCGACTTTTTGAGTTGGCAGCGTCGCCACGCCCTGCACTTTTCCCATTCCTCAGTTGGCCAAAAGATTTTTCACAGTTTTTCTGTGCCACTTTGCGGTGGGGTCTAAGTCAAATAAAAGCAAAAGACAGCCACAACAACAAAATTAAGAGAGGAATAGCATTTTAATAAACAACAACCGCAGTAATCGCAGCAGCCCAGCTGCCTACGGTTCATGGAAGTCGTTGCGGCTTAAATGTGTGTGAAATTTCTCGGAGAAAGTATATACAAAGCCAACAACCTACCGCAACGATAAAACCGGCCAAAGAGCGTTCTAAATTCTTGGAGTGCGAAGAACTCTGGAGGGTTAATGTTGGGAGGCCACTTAACTTTCGGTTTTATTTGTTTCTTGGCTGTTTTTATACACGCTACTCATGGAGTAAAGGGTATACTATATTCGTTGAAAAGTATGTAATACTTACCGTTGTCCGTTCGTAAGAACGGCGAGATCTCAGGGACTATAAAAGCCAGAAAGTTGAGATTAGGAAAGTTTGTTAAATGGTGTTTTCACATCCACTCTAGTCCACAAGCCGCCCAAAACTGCCACGCCTACACTTTTACAAAATGTTTTGATATTTTTTCAAATTTTTATTAGCGTATCGATTTGCCAAAAACTTTTTGCCTGTCACGCTCGCACTTTTGTAAAGATGGTATATATTTTATAGTTTCCACTACCTGATTAAGGGATAGCTGATAGTCGGGGCACTCGACTATATCATTATCTCTTGTTTTTGTTAAGAACCAGACTCACGCTTGGCCAGCGGACTTTCTATTTCATGCCGTAGGGGTTGTATGCCTTCTCAGGTTTTGTGCAATAAAAATTGCAATTTTCACAACAAAAGAAAGCGAAAAGAAAATGTTTACTGCGCTTAGGTGTGCGTGTGCTTTTTGTGTTTGCTTGTTAGCCATGTTGGCGATGTTTCAGTTGGTTTTGGTTTTTTTAGCACGTTTTGACGCCGCATTGACGTTAATCAAAGTTAACCGCCAAACGCTCGCACAAATCTCACGCTAATTAACTTTTATATGGGATCAGCGACGACGGGTGCGATAAGCCGCCGGCTTTCAGCAGCATCACCTGTCCAGTTGGCCAGCCATTTGGACATCCGCTCCGGCACGACAGTCACGAGCCAATTTTTTGCCTCCGCCGATTTTCATTTAATTTGCGAACATTTTACTTAAGCGTTATGCCCGCCCGGGGACTTAACTTTACGATAAAAAACCACCAGCATTTTTCACAGCCTTCCCCATCCGCCGGGTGTCACGTGGTCAGATAGCCAGTTAATGTGAGAAGACGGCATTCATCCCACTTTCATTGGTGTGTTTTCATATGTTCCGCGAGTTGGAAAGGAGCAGGTTTTGTAGGAAAAAAGTTTGGATTCCTTTAATTTACATAAATATGTTTAGATTTGCTATTTTTTTCATTGGTTCGCTTAAAAAATCGGTCTAGCTAAATATAATATTTTAATGTAAAGGACAACCGTGCTAAACAACCGTGCTAGTTCTCTACTTATATCCATTACAGCAAAATGTGCAACAACCTGAATATTTAATTTCCCTCGAGCACATTCAAAAGTTTATTCAAAACTAAAACGTTGCGGAACTAAGTTTTCTGGTTTGGAAAAGGGATATCATTTTTATTGGCAATGTCATTGCAATATTGTATATCATTTATGTTCGATTGCCAGTTAAATTGCGTCACTCAACTGCGTGCACGAATACATTCATCAGACAGCTTTAAATATAGATTTGCTGGAGTGAGTGGAGTTCAGTGGATCGTGGACAAGTATTTTTTCATTACTTCTACCGTTAGTATTTATTGTGCGTTGCTTTTCGCTTTCTTTGGCGCCTCTCACCCCAGTAAATCGGCGAGTGCAGGGGCTCACCGTCCATTAAGACCCGACCACTATACTATGGTATAGTCCGGCATCCGCAGCCGATGACCGCTGACCGATGACCAGGGAATCTCGCCACTGGACACTCGTGTGTGCGATGG